CCTTCCCCTTTCCTTTCTTTTTTTTAAAAAATAAACTCTCCAGGTGATTCAAATGCATCAAGAACCATGAATCCCACATGACAATCTTACCTTATATATAAAAAAATTAAGGTCCAAAGGATTTAATTGACTTGTAATTTGACCAAGATCACACACCTAGTTAACGGGAGAGTGGAGAGTTTGGATTAAAATCATGATCTCCATTAATTTATTCTTCTAATAAATGTCTCTCAATGACATTCTAGGATTGTGGCCAGCCACCCAGTTGTTACTGAAGAATACGTTAAAACTGGTTCATATCTAAGAATCAAATAGGCTGGTCCTGATCCAAGTTAGAAGGGGAGAGTGAGCTTGGATGGTTCTGGCATTCTCTCTCAGTGTGATTCAGGCCTCTGGAAATGTTAAGGAATCCTTTCGTCCAGGTGTAATCCATTACTACCTATGACCCACTCTCCCATTTTACTAGTTCCAGGGGGCCCTCTACTTACCTAGATCTAATGTGTAGCACAAGGGGGAGTGGACAGGGTTCCCAGCTGGGAAGTCTAGTGCAGCTCAGTGAAACCTTGATCAGTGGGGATGAGAGCTGGCTCCTCGGCCCTAGGCATAGAAGAAAGGAAAGTTAATCTGCAGTTGCTGGATTGTTCTTTGAGAGAAGTTATGTCTAAAATATTTCTTAATGCTGTCCATTCATTCTAATAGAAATAAACTCTCTCCCAAGACACAACTACAGTTCTCACAGTGGTTTACATTGAAATGGTATTTATATATAAAAAGATACATGTATACATGTCCCTCCTAAAGGTGAACTATGTGTGTGTGTGTGTGTGTGTGTGTGTGTGTGTGTGAGAGAAAGATCAAATTTTGAACTCAACCATTTCCATACTTAGCAATTCATGGCTACAAAAGTTGGTATGTGAGAAACTATCAGTACTGGAAGAAAACCATCTGAGAAGCACTTTCCTTGAGAAGTACAAAAAAAATTTGAAAAATGAGATACATAATGTTCAAGATAAAAGCTGATCTTTATCAACTAAAAATTAGTGGATTGCCCCGGCCAGTGTGGCTCAGTTGGTTGGAACATCATCCCATACACAGAAAGGTCCTGGGTTTGATTCCTGTCAGAGCACATACCTAGGTTGTGGGTTCGATCCCCTATAGGGGCAAGTACAAGAAGCAACTGATCAATATTTCTCACATTGATGTCTCTCTCTCTCCCCCCTCTCCAAATATCAACAAACATGTCCTCGTGTGAGGATTAAAAAAAATTAATAGTATTAATTTACCTTTAGTCCTTTACAAATATTACAATTATTACTTCCCATTCACAGAATACTTACTCCAAAGGTCTTTCAAAAGTAAATTAAATTACATCCACTCAATTTGTGGGTATACCCACTCCTTGCTTCATTTCCATTTACCAAACCTCTGACCAATTCATTGCCCTTGTTCTAAAGTTGACATCTATTCCTGAGCACCAGGAACCCACGGAAACATATGCAACGTTTTTGAATGGGTGTGCATTTTTTTTCTGGCAGTAAAGCCCTTAGCTTTGGCCAGATTTTAAAAAAGACCTGTCCCCTCCTAAAAGCTCCCAAGAATTCAAAGGTGAAGTTGGGGAGAAGATAATCACATTGGTGGTGTTGTTCTCTGGAATGAAAGATTTTATGAAACTGGCCCCTGGAACTACCCTCCAAAAGGATAGAAAGCTATTGTGAAATTTGATGTATCCTCCAAAAGGGGGGACTTAGTAAAACACAGTTTGGGAAGCACCAGAAGGTTAAATTTATACATGCTGGCTCTGTCTTCTTTCATGCAAGATTTCACTAGTCTGAAACCAAAGGAAAGGAAATCATCATCTCATTTTTCTTGCTGATGTGGACTTCAGTGACTCAATGGTAATGCAAATGATAGGAAAAATGGACATGTCTTCTCAGTCATTTCCTAGAAAAACTTTTACTTTGGTATTACTAAAATGCAGACTATCTGCAATGGTAGAAAAATTACAAAATGATTAGGACAGCAGGGGACACTCTTGACATTTAGAATGAAATGAAAGCTCAACTGTTTTTTATTTTATTTTATCTATTTATTTTTATTTTTGTTTAAAATATTACAGATGTCCCTTTTTCTCCCCAATGACCCATTCCACCCCGTCCCATCCCCCTCCCCAGTCCCTGTCCCCACCAGTGTCCGTGTCCTTGGGTTGTGCATATATGCATATAAATTCTTT